TATATTTAATATATATTCCCACACTCTTATAAACATACTCTTATAAACCTTTCCCACACTTTTAAAAATACTTCTAATGTTCTATCTTTTTAAAATGTGTTTATTACAGGGTCTCACTACATAGATCGGACTCGGTGTGAGCCTCCTGTTTTTAGCCTCCCAAGCTCTGGGATTACAGGTGTGCACCACCATGCCCAGTCTCAGTCGCCATCTCAGCGCTCCCCTGGGGCAGTGGCTGGCACAGCACACTGGGGATTAAACTCCAGCCTCTGTACTCTGCCTAAGCAGGTGCTTTAGTCTGCCGAGCCACCTGGCCAGCCTTTACTTCTAATGTTCTTAATCAATTTCTGAACTTGTAAACCTATGTAATTTTAACAACATACATATACTGTACAGTACTACAAAATCTTACAATATAGCGAAATATCCACTATAAATAATTTAGATTAATATTTTTAAAAACCTACAAAACAGTGAGTCTGCAAAAGTTGACCATGCATGGGGCCGGGGAGATGGCTCAGTAGAATAAGCGCTTCCCTATCAAGTGCAAGGGTCTGAGTTCAATCCCCGGTTCCGCAAAAAAAAAAAAAAAAAAAGTTGACCGTGCAATAGCAAGGGACTACTGTATTCCATCCGACAGCATCAGAATACATATGCCTGAGTAAATGCAAAGGAATTGAAATTATCCCATGCATATTATCAGACTATAGTGCAATTACATTGGAAATCGGTGGCCAAAGAAACCCCACAAAAATTTCATAAACACATAGTAATTAAATAACACCCTCCTAAACAACCAATAGGTCACAGATAAAATTAAAGAAGAAATTAGAGCCAAGTGTGGTAGTGTATGCCTGTGATCCCAGGAGCTGGAGGACTAGGCAGGAGGATTTCTGGGAGTTCAAAGCCAGCCTGGTATATACAGTGAGTTCAAGGCTAGCCTGAACTACATGGGTGAGACCTGTCTCAAAAAAACAAAAAAGGAACAAAGAATTTAGACAATGTTTATAGTTAAATGATAATGCCAATGAAACATCAGAATTTACAGGGTGCAATGAAAGCAATCCTAAGAGACAAGTTTACAGCAATGAATTCCCAAATCAGAAAAATAGAGCAAGCTCAAACAACCTAAAGTGGAACCTCAAGCTTCTAGAAAAAGTCAAGCCCAAAGCTTGTATGAGGGAGGAAATTATAAAGATCAGAGCAGAAATTAATGCAGTATATAGGAAGTAAAGCCATGCTGCTATGTTGAGCTGTGGGGGACTCAGGTCAATAATTTCTGACATTGCCAGTTAAACAGAAGACCCAATGCTATTATGGGCTACTGGACTCTTTTAGAATATTTTGCTGAGTTTACACACCTATAATATTCAATAACGGAACTTAGAAAAAATAGGGTATACAGATGAATGTCCATTTTGTATCTGTGTATCCAAAGTGGTTAGGATAGATATATAGTTGCATTCTCTAAATGAATAGAATGATTTGTTCTAATGGTGTTTGTAAATAGGATCTCAAGTCCGCATCTTGTACAGCAATTAACCACTAAAAAGAATATATGCAGTGTGTTATTTGTTGAAACTGTACTTCTGATTTGATTTGAAACTGTCTCATTGCTGTTTATCAATAAAATTTTGGGAAAAAAAAAGAAATTAATGCAGTGGGGACTAGAAGATAATACAAAGAACCAATGACCAAAGAGTTGGTTTTTAGAAAGAAACAATATTAACAAGTCCTTAGTCAATCGTATCAAAATAAGGAAAGGGGGGCAGGGGAGATGGCTCAGTAGAATAAGCTCTTGCCTGGCAAGCACAGGAGCCTGAGTTCAATTCCGAGTTCTGCCAAAGGGGGGAAAAAAAAAAAAAAAGGAAAGAAAAGACTCAAATCCATACAGTTAGGAATGAAAAGGGTGAAATCACAATAGATTCTGCAGAAATCCAGATTGCGTTCAGCCTGTCACAAGTCATATGTCCCAGAGCCCCTGGAAAACTATGCTGGTTGCTTGTGAGTGAGCCTGAGAAAGGCAAATAGCACATCTGTATGATGCTGAAAACAGTCGGTGCTCCCAGAATCCTCTAAAGAACCCCAATGGCCCACTCTGAGAACCGCTGCACTAACCCAAGGGTTTTCTGCAGCAAGCTGACCGCTGGCTTAGCGCAGCACCAGCCAGGCCTGGCACCCACAGCTTTCCAGCAAATAAGCACAGCTCACCAACCAAGGGTGGGGGGACCAGCTCAGCTCCCAGAGCTCTGTGCAATGCCACCCTGCTCCGGGCTCTTCCTAAGGCAAGACACCCCACCTGGCCTGATTGGCTGGATGGGAAGGAGCTGGTGGCCAGGGGCTGGCGTGTCCCCTTTGAGAGTGTGCTTGTCCTCAAAACCAAAAGTGTGTTCCTTGAAGACAAAGCACTGCTAGGTTCCACATCCCAGGCAGGGCTCAGGGCAGGGCTGAACCCGTAGATCAGGGCAGCCCAGGGCCTCTAGAGGGTGGGTGGGGAGGAAGTTAGCCGCAGGAAATCTCCTGAGTGCTAAGAAGGTGCCGCGGGGTCCCGGAATTGGTACCTGTGGCTCTTCTGTCCTCACTGCAAACTCTTCCAAATTCAACTCTTGCCTGTATCTTTGTGTGACTTTGGGAAAGCAACTTAACCTCTCAGAGCCTTAGCACTATCGTTTGTAAGACGGTTATGATAGCTCATAGAGAAACTGCACGAAAAACCTCCTGCCACTCTACACTGAGCTGTATCCCCAGCCCCAGGCCCTTTTCTGTTTTTTATTCTGAGACAGTCTACTAAATTAGTAAGTTGCCTTGCCCGGGCTTGAAATTTCAATCCTTCTGCATCAGCTTCCCAGAATGCTAGGATAACAAACATACATCCCTATGCCCAGATCTAAATTCAACTCTTGCCTGTATCTTTGTGTGACTTTGGGAAAGCAACTTAACCTCTCAGAGCCTTAGCACTATCGTTTGTAAGACGGTTATGATAGCTCATAGAGAAACTGCACGAAAAACCTCCTGCCAGGCCCTAAAACCTAACACACATCCTACAAACAATAGCAAAAGGCCTCCTGCCCCTCCATACCCTCTTCCCTGCCTGACTCTCAGCCTGAGCATAGCCAACTCAAAACAGATTAGTAATCCCTTTTCTTTCTAAGGACATCGGAGCTAGGCTGGAATTTTCCGCAAGGACGTCACTCCTGGAGAAAGACGCACAGGGTGGTCTCACCTGCAGGGTCGGGTTCCTACCCTGGAACAGCAGACAGCAGGGGCAGCCAGGCTTCTCACCCACTCTGTCCAAGACCTTGGGCACCTTCTCCTCTCTGTCCTCTCTCCTGCAGGCCCACAGGTCCTAAGGATGGGCAACAAACTCTTCCATCTCACTCCATGCTTCTACAATGGCTTCTTCCTTTTTCCACACCACATGGGTCAACAAGCTTGGCTGATGCCCCCTTTGCCCAGATGAGGAGGATGGGTGGGCAACTAGCTTTGTCCAAGGCCCGTAAGAGGCACAGACCTTGGAGCTGCCAACCCCATGCACCAAGCTTCTCTCCTTCTCAGACCACCTCAGGCTCCCTGATATCTGCAAAGCAACCTCGTGTTCTCTTCCCTCCCAGCACCTCCAGGATCTCTCTCAGTACATTGGGTGAGGAAGAAAGGGGGTGACAAGCTCCCTGGTCCCATCCCCACAAGCACCTGCCTTCCTCTGCTGGGTGTTCACAGCCACTGCCTGTGCCTTTAAGAATTGCCACCCAGTGCCAGAATATTAACCTCAGCACCCTCAGCTGAGTTGGATTAAGGGACCACTGAATGCCTTTCAGAATTCTTTCTGGCCGCTGTCCCTTCCCTCACACGGAGACAGAGTAGCCAGGGGCCCAACAGGTCTGCAGAGGGTAGCCCGTTCCCTTGGGGAGTAGTTCTTTGACAGGGACCTTGTGACCAGGGAGTGGGCCCGTGGGGGTCTTGGGCTATCACTGGGACTTTATAAAGCCATGCAGAGTCTTGGGCCATGAAGGACTACTCAGATGCGATCCTCTGCACGGAGGTGACAGAATTGAGCAAGGTAAGGGCCATACAGAACCACTGTCCTAAGACCCAGTGTCCCCTGTGGACACACCTGCCCTCAGCTTTCCATCCTCTGCCTCCCAGACTGAGTTCTGCAATCCCGCCTTTGAGCCAGAAGCAGGACCACCTTGCCCTCCTTCAGCCTTCCTGCAAGATGCCAACTACAGGATCCGAGCTCCCTGGCACGGTAACCATCTCAGGGGTGGCCTGACCATGGGACAGGAGCCCAGAAACTGAGGACAGTGTGAGGGGCTCTCCAAACCTCATCCTGCCTGCCTGCAGGTCGGCGTCACCGAAGGATGCGGCCAGACTGCCACTTCTCTTGGCTCTGCGTCTTCCTTCTCATCCTCCTGCTGCTCCTGCTGCTTGGGCTGCTGGTGGCCGTCATCCTGGCCCGTAAGTCCCTGAGGGCTTCTGGGGAGGAGAACCTTAGACTAAGACTCCATGAGCCACTATTCCCATGCCCAAGGATCCAGCACCTCTCAATACTGTTTTTCCATCCTCCTGCCCCAGAGTTGCAAGCTGCACCCCCATCTGAAGCCACAGAGAGCCCACAGTCCATCACCAGCACCACCCCTACCAGCACCACTACCTCCCCAGCAGCTACACAAAGGCAGGAGGCAGGCATGAGCCCCCCACACCAAGCCTGTGAGTACTAAGGATACCTAGTCCTAAGATAGTGGCACAGGGAAGGAGACCAGAGATCAGAGTGGTGGAAGAGAGAACATCTCCCCTCTGACTTCTGAACCCTCACCCCTATCCTTGCAGCCTGTGGGGGCCTCCTTCCTGGTCCAAGAGGCTTCTTCAGCAGCCCCAACTACCCAGACCCTTACCCGCCCAACACCCACTGCGTGTGGCATATCCAGGTGGCCACAGACCACACAATACAACTCAAGATTGAAGCTCTCAGCATAGAAAGTGTGACCTCCTGCCTTTATGATCGCTTGGAAATCTCCCCAGAGCCTGATGGCCCCCTTCTTAGGTGGGTCCTTCTACCCCAAAAAGACGACCACCCTATCAGAAAGACAGGGCCAGGAAGCTGCAGCAGGAAGCTGAACTGGATCCCCACCCTGCCACCATCTCTCCATGTGACCTAGGGAAGTACACTTCTCCTCTCTGACCTTGGTTTTCTAATCTGTAAAATAGAACTCTCATCTTTCCTGTTAACAACGTGTTATAGGGCTAAACGTGTAGGGGTTGGGAAGGTCAGAACTCCGAGAAAATTAAAGTAGCCTTTGGACCATACTGACACCACTCCAGGGGTGGAGCAAACACAGTTGCAGGGCCTAGGCAAGCTCCCCTCGGCTGACCCTGAGCTCCAGACCTCCTTCATGGCCCCCAACCGGCTTCTTGCAGGGTCTGCGGAGAGGTGCCTCCTCCCACTCTCAACACCAACACCAGCGGCCTCCGGGTGGCCTTTGTCTCTGATAGCAGTGTGGAAGCATCTGGTTTCCAAGCCTGGTACCAGGCTGTAGCCCCTGGCCATGGCAAGTGACTCCCTGCCATCCTCCCAGATGCCTTCACCTGGTCACTTCCTTCTGCTCCAGCCATTCCCAGCACTAACAAAAAAAAAAAAAAAAAGCTTCTGACCCCAAATGCCCGCCCCCAGGGAGCTGTGCCCAGGATGAGTTCCCCTGCGACCAGCTCATGTGTCTGCTGCCTGAATCAGTGTGTGATGGGTTTGCCAACTGTGCGGATGGCAGTGATGAGGCCAATTGCAGCGCTGCACTCTCTGGTATGGGTCTGGCCAGGGGCAGGGAGGGTACCATCTTCAGATTATGGATCCAGGTTCTGGGTGGGCTCCCAGCTTAGGTCCAGCCCCAAACCTCAGCTCCCGCCAGCATCCCCTGCCTAGTCATTCTTTTGACCCAGAACTTGTTTACCCAGAGGCCTTGCCAACACTCCTCCTGCCAGCCCCAAGTGGAGGCAGAGGGCCTGGGTATTCATGAGCCCTGCCATTTCTTGGCAGGGTGTGGGGGGAACCTGACCGGGCTCCAAGGCACCTTTTCTACTCCTAACCACCTGCAGCAGTACCCTCAGCAACAGGTAAGTGCAGTGTCTCAGGGGGCTTCGGGGACACACGGAGAGACATCTCGCATCCAGACTAGCAGGACAGGAACAGCATAGTAGATACTGCCTGTCCTTGGCAAGGCCAGAGCACATTAAGTACCCACCGTGTACCCAGTCACCCAAGCTGGGTAACATCCATTTCTGAGACCAGAATTTCAAAGGTCCTTCCTACCTTAAGAGCCCCAATGATGAGTTAGGTGAGCAGTGGCCAGCAGGAGGCCCAGCTCAGGAAGGACCCCAGTACCCCATCCGTGCCTCCCCCAGCTCTGCACCTGGCATATCTCAGTGCCTACGGGACATGGTGTAGAACTGCAGTTCCTCAACTTCAGCCTGGATGCACAAGACGGATGCAAGTTGGACTATGTGGAGGTGTATGAGGCCAGCAGTGCCGGGGCCCTCAGCCTCCTGGGCAGGTACGCAGCTAGGGGAGAGCTGAGGCTTGACAGCCCCCTGTCCAGGAGGCCCTTCTGTTCTGCCACCCTGTGGGGCCACTTGCACCTTCCCCACAAAGCCACCCTGATTATCCCCACACCAAGTGGCTCCAGTGCTAACAGTTTAACATTTTGTGTACTGAACATGTAGTTCCTTCTCATCAGAGCCTGAATTCCATAAGCCAGCGACTGTGCCTCCCATCACCCCCTGGGTGGCCGGGCACCTAACTCAGAGCCCCAGCAGTTGGCCAGGGGGCCCATGCCCAAGACAACTCTCTGCTCTGGGCAGGTTCTGTGGAGCGGAGCCCCCCTCCGACCTCAGCTCCCGACACCAGGAACTGACTGTGCTCTTCAGGACAGAGCACGGCTTCAGCAGCAGGGGCTTCTCAGCCAGCTACCGGGCCTTGAATACCACAGAGAGTAGGTGCCCCTGGGTGAGTGGGTGTGGGCAGCAGCAGAACAGGGATGGGCTCTGGACGTGGTTGAGGCACACGGAGGGTGGTAGAGGTATGTCCCTGGGAACCACCATGCCCCCTGTGCCTGCAGACCCCTGTGGGCCCAGAGAGCTCTTCTGCCAGGACGGAGGGTGTAGGGATGCACAGTGGATGTGTCACTGGTGGAGAGACTGTGCAGACAGCAGCAAGGACAACTGCAGCAGCCTCCTGCTTCCACCCCCAGGTGAGGAGCCTGCCCCAGCACGCTGAATGTCCAACTCACAGAAATTCTGCCAAGCACACTGCCCAACATCCCCTGCCCTTCTCCCGGTGTGAGGTGTGCAGCCGGCTGGACCTCACACTTCGGACTCTGGGGTCACTTTACAGAGTCCTACAGGGGCTTTCAGCTGGACGGGCAGTGGTACTTAGTATCACCTCAGAGTGACACAGGATTCTGGGAATCAGTGATAGGGGCTTCAAGGTGGGAAACAGCCACCTTTGACATATAGTCTCCACAACCCATTTCAGACACAAAGATGAGATTTTTACCTGAAAGGGGGAAGTTTCTTCCAGAACTTTCCCTCTACATGTTCCCTTAGATCAAACAGGTGCTCCATGACACCCAGGGCTGGCAAATGATGCTTGGAGCTGCCTAGTGAGGACAGAGTGGGTCCTCCGTGGATGTTACATCCTTCCCCGCTACCTCCCGGGCTCTCACTGCTCCAGCCTGACCTCTGTAGCAGCAAGAGCCCAGAGCACTAATGTGGCCCATGCCCACTGTGACCCTCCTCTCTCCTGCCCCTGCAGTGCTGGCTTGTGAACCCATCCAGGTGGAGATGTGTATCGGTCTGAGCTACAACACCACAGCCTTCCCGAACATCTGGTTGGGCATGGCCACCCAGGAGGAAGTCACAGATACCCTCAGAGGCTACAAGGTGCTTGAGAAAAGGAAGAAACCAGCAGGGAAGCTAAAGAAAAGGGAGGGAGTCTGAGGACCAGGTAGCTAAGGCCCACGTCTTCCTCCTACAGAGCCTGACAAGCCTTCCCTGCTACCAGAATTTCCGGAGGCTCCTCTGTGGGCTGCTTGTGCCTCGTTGTACCCCTCTAGGCAGCATCCTTCCCCCTTGCAGGTCTGTCTGCCAGGAGGCAGAGCGCCAGTGTCAGTCTGGCCTGGCCCTACTGGGCACCCCATGGCCCTTTAACTGCAACAGGCTGCCTGAGGCCACTGGCCTGGAAGTGTGTGCCCAGCCCTGACCCGGAAGCCAGCCCCTGCCCTCTGCCTACCCTGTATGGGCAGGCAGGGAGGCAGCAAAGGAAGAGGGATCTTTGCTAGGGACTCCCAGGGGAAGAAGAGCCCCAAACCACAGCTTTATGGAACACCCCCACCCTCACTCTCCTTCCTGCCCCTTTATTTGCCAGAGGACCCCCCAGGGGCGCCACTGAGCAGTTTAGACAGTTTCCCATCCAGGTCTCTGCCCCAGCTTCCCCTCTTGCACCTTGCCCTTTTCCATCTGTCTTTTCAGGTTCATCTGCCCTTCAGTTTTCTCACTTAGTTAACGAACTACAGTCTGTGCCTACTGATGTGGCAGGCCCTGCTCCAAGCGGGGCTCTCTGCTGGTCCAGTTGTCCCTGGCTGTCACGGCACCATCTCTCCCTCCTGCCTCTGGGAGCAGGAGGAGCCCTGTCTCCCATGGTTCAGCCTCTCCATGCCCAGCTCAAGCCTTCCTCCCCCCTTCTCTCCCCGCAAAGTTTGGCAGCCCGCCGGGCGACACCACGAGTTATTTCCCAGCTATTTCCCGGCCCAGAGCCCTGAACAACTGGTTTCCTTTGGAGTCTGGGAGGAGTGGAGCGGGCAGGGAGCGAACCAGGCAACGCCAGGGTAGCGGGGTACTCGACTGGGGAGAAGCACCAGGTGGAAGCAGGGCCAACTGGAGGGTCCGGACAGGACAGCGCCCCAAAGGAAGCCATCCAGAGTACAAGCAGCGGGGGAGCCGGGAGCTGTGAGTCTGGCAGAAGTGTAGGGGTGGGGGAGGGGGCTGTGGGGCTCCCGGCGCCAGCTGGGGTGGGCAGGGCGACAGTGCTGGCCTCTCCTCTCCTCCCGCCTGCCCTCCCCCAGGCTCAGGGGTCTGGGGCGCCTGCGGCTTCACCCCCTGGTGCTGCCATTGGCCTGGCCTTAGGAGCTTGGCAGGGGTGGGAACCAGCAGGGATCCGTAGGGGTGGGGTAGCAAGGCGTGTCCCAAGATTATGAGTCCCCACTCTGGTCCTGCCTGGCCCACAGATTACAAAACGACCCTGGCGTTCGGGATCCAGGTGCCAGGATCATGAGGCCGCTCTTCACGCTGCTGTTTCTGGGCCTGGCATCCGGCTCGGCCCCACTGGATGACAACAAGATCCCCAGCCTGTGTCCAGGGCATCCCGGCCTTCCAGGCACACCAGGCCACCACGGCAGCCAGGGCCTGCCAGGTCGCGACGGCCGCGATGGCCGCGACGGCGCGCCTGGGGTTCCGGGCGAGAAAGGCGAGGGTGGGAGGCCAGGTAAGAAGGCATCTTTGATGCCCTCTCTGGTCCTGCTCCTTGGGCTCTCAGCTGGCTTCCAGGCCTGTGGGGTCGGGGCTCCGGCCAGGGGGCGCTACTCCCCCCCCATCCGAGCCGCACAGGCAGGCTGGGGGAGTGACTCAACCCGCACTCCGGGGACCGCTTTGCCCAGCCCCTTGGACGTGCACCAAGCCCTGCAGGATGCGGAGACAAAGTGCCCGGTAGAGGGAAGCGCTTAGCGGGGAGGTGGCAGCTGCAAGGAGAGGGCCCTTGAGGGCGCCCTTTCGCACTACGCTGCGCGGCAGGCCGGGATTCTCCGCACCTAACATTGCCGTTCCGCGCAGGACTGCCGGGGCCACGCGGGGAGCCTGGGCCGCGAGGAGAGGCGGGCCCCGTGGGGGCAGCTGGGCCTGCCGGGGAGTGCTCCGTGCCCCCGCGCTCAGCCTTCAGCGCCAAGCGCTCCGAAAGCCGAGTGCCACCGCCGGCCGACGCGCCCCTGCCCTTCGACCGCGTGCTGGTGAACGAGCAGGGACATTACGATGCCACCACCGGCAAGTTCACCTGCCAGGTGCCCGGGCTGTACTACTTCGCCGTCCACGCCACCGTCTACCGGGCCAGCCTGCAGTTTGACCTCGTCAAGAACGGCGAATCCATCGCCTCTTTCTTCCAGTTTTTTGGGGGGTGGCCCAAGCCAGCCTCACTCTCAGGGGGCGCCATGGTGAGACTGGAGCCCGAGGACCAGGTGTGGGTGCAGGTGGGTGTGGGCGATTACATCGGCATCTATGCAAGCATCAAGACAGACAGCACCTTCTCTGGATTTCTTGTCTACTCCGACTGGCACAGCTCTCCAGTATTCGCCTAGCGCTGTGGTTCCTAGTGGGGGGCCCAACGCTGACGCACATCCGGGAGGGCTGGCCCCCCTGGAAAACTGAGAGGCTAGGGCAGTGGAGTCGGGGGTCCCTAGGTTCTGCAAGCAGCACGGGGCTGTATTTCTGCCCAAGCCAGGAGTCTGTCGTGCTGGCAAGTGTCGTTCCCTGGCTACTCAAGTCCAGAACTACAAGGTGGGGTGCTCTCCTCCTGGTCTTCCCCTTCATCTTCCATCCCTCCTGCTCCCAGGGCCAGCCCTTAACTCAAGGATCACTCAATAAATCTACAAAACCCTCCTCCTGGCTTCCGTCTTTCATTAGGGATGGGGGAGCCCTGTTTCTGAGCATCATGACAGGGATACACAGGTGAAAGGGGGGATGGAGCCAGGGGGCAGAAGATAAAGGAAATGGGGCTCAGAGGAGTGAAAGCTGCTCTACAGAGCGCCACCTGGTGCGCAAGCTGTGACTCAGCCCGCATGCCTGGGGGATGGGGGTGTCCTGGTGAGGGTCTCCAGCCACCCAGGGGCTGCCTTCACCAGCCATCCCCCTGCCCAGGCCCAACAGGAAAATGGAACTTTCCTTCATGGCTGCTTCTCTGGTCTCAGGCGGGCTCCCGGCTGTAGTAAGTGGCTTCTGAGATGGCCACCAGGGGGCCCACCAGCCCCAGAATGCAGCAATGACCAGGGATTTTACATGTGGTTAGGAGAAAGCCTATTCAAGCTTGCCAAAGGAATTCTAGATGAGGGTGGAGGAAAATGGGGTCCTTCGCTCCCAGCTCAGGAAGTTTATCTAACCTCATAAAATGTTTATGTCCGCATTAAACAGAGAGTGGAAAGAGCTAAGCCTCCTCTTGCTCAGCTCCCTGTCTGGGGCTGAGAAGGAATGACATTGCCTCCCCTCTCCTGCTGTGTGAGGCACATCCTGAGTGGACTGCCACAAAGCTCCTTGGAGGTTCACTTCCCAAGCCACCTCCAGAGCCCAGCCATACCCTCCACCCAACCTAATAACCAGTAACTAGGGTTTCTCATTCGGCTGCTCGGCCTCTCACCCCAAGCAGAGGGGGCTCTCCTGAGATCTTCAGTACTCATCCTTCTCCTTCCCAGTTCCAGACAACAGTCCCAGGCACCGTCCTCCTAGATATGCAATTATGGGGAGGTGCCCCTCCTCCTGCTGGTCATGTGAGGGTAGCTTTGATTAACAGGGACTGGGCCCCAAGTGCACCAGACATGCCTCAGGCCTCCTGGGCGCCAGCTGTCTGCACCCCACCAGGTCCCTCAGCCAGGCTCCAGCCCTTCACAGTGCCCGGCTTGGAGCCAAAAGACACAAAAACAAGCACCAGCTCCTACAGGGATCAGAGGGTAGACTGGACTCCAGGCAGCCAGGCCCCAAGTTTCCCCCTGGGAAGGCATACTCCAGAGTTAAGAAATTCACATTCTGCTCCAGAAGGACATAATTCTGGGAAGAAACAAAACACGGAAGAGTTGGGGAAGGCTTTCCCAGAGCTGTGTGATCATCAGGACAAATCTGAGGTGGCAAGTGGTAACCCAGCCCCACCTGGCACACTCTCCCCTGAGCACAGCACTCTCAGAAGACCACACTTCTGCAGAGTCAAAAACCCTGCCGCCACCTCTATTAACTTGACCAACTGCCCACAGGGATACACACACTGTCAGAGCTGTCAACCTAACTTTATTTACCAGAAACTGGGCAGCCCCTCAAGGAGCTACGTGCCCCTAGACCCTGGCTCCTTCTACCTGGACCCTATAAAATATGCAGTCTGCCTTCCCCAATGTGAAGGAGAGACAAAAGGAATGCCACTGTCTTATGTGATGTGGGGAGTGAAAGCGGAATGAGTAGAAATCTGGTTGGCTTTCCTGAGGCTCTCCATAGAGCTTGGGTGCCCCAAGATATATGGTCCCAAAGCCAGGCAAAAATGTCCCCCACATCCACCACGGCTAAATGCCTGAGTCCAGCTTTTTGATCAGATCAGGAGGGAGCCTCCTAAGATCATGACAGGCAGAAGTGGCTCTTAGGGCACCTGAGAGATTCTACCCTCATACCTAGAAAGGCCGAGAGGTTCTGGCTGAACGCAGGTTCAAGATCATTCCAAGGCCCTTGAGTTGTCAAAATACCCAAATGACACTGATGTGTTGTGGCTGCAAAGGCTGGGGCAGTGGGCAGGAGCAGGAAGGAGGCGGGGAAAGAACCTACAAATCCCCAACAGAAAAATCAGAGGCAGAGAGGGGCTGACCCCTGAGGCTGGCATCTAGGTGTACCCTGGGTCGGCCACAGAGCACAGCCAACAGCATCAGAGCCCTTGCATAGTGACATACTCACCACCCTCGGCATTACACAATTCCCCCCTGGACAGAGAATTATATTAACCTGCCCCAGCTAGACGCAGTCTTCCAGACTGTCCCATGTACAACCAAGTTCCGGATGTATGGCTTGAGGCTTGGCAAGGCAGCCAGGGAGACAGGAAGGGATTCAGGACAGAGGTGAAGTGCCGAGGCTAGTCCTAGCGCAGGTGCCTTCATGGAGCACGGAGGGTGACAGGCAGAGAGGGCGTCTTCAGAGGTAGACATTGAGAGTCTGAAGGATACCCCGGCGGCAGAGTGGGCAGTTGCGGTGGTAGATAGGGTGGCGCATGAGGATTTCAGTGCAGGCCTGACACAGGCACAGGTGTCGGCATGGCAGGAGCAGCACAGTCTTGCTCTGGTCCTGGCAGATGACACACTTCTTCCGCTCCTCTTGCTCCTTCAGCAACTTCCACGGGTCTTGCCCAGCTGTGGCCTCCTCCTCCTCGTTCAGCCTCTCCCGGCCCCGGGCAGGAGTTGCTCTAATGTTCCTGACTGCCTCCTCCTCGGCCACTAACCTGGGGGCTCCTTCAGGAAGTGGGTCATGTCCTGGGATCCTGGCTGGGAACACCCTCCTAGGGCCACCTTGGGGAGCCCCAGGTGCCCCACCTCGATTCGGCCAGCTTGCCAGCTGTAGGCTTCGACTCCAGACTCGGCGCCAAGCTTCCAATCCCAGGGCTAGGCGAGACAGCCGAACGACATCCTCTCGGAGCCGGTGGTAGGACGGCCGAGCATGGAGCTGACTGAGCGCTCGGGTGGCCAGCCTTAGTGTGAGGTCTGGATGCAACATGGTCACAGTCACTGCCAGCACACAAGCCAGCAAAGCTAGACCAGTGAGATTGACAAGCACAAAGCTGGACAGGAGGCGGGCAGCTGAGGCCAGCAGCTCCAACGCTAGCTGGCAGGGGGTCCAAAGAAGGATGGCCATGGCCACAGCACTGCTGGAAATGTGGGCTAAGAAGGCAGCCACAATGTCCGTCATCCTCCAAACAGGCCCCATCACGACATCCCACAGGGCCAGCACCAGGGAGAAGAGGTTCTGCGTGCCAATGAGGAAGATGTTGACCAGACTGTTGATCACATAGGCCACGAGGCTCATGGCAATGGCACAGACGTCACAGGCCTGGCGCAACAAAGCATGCCCACAGGAGACCACATTGAGGACACCCCGGTGCAAGAGCTCGCGGCTCCGCAGCGCCCCATGGGAGGCCAAGTGCCCCAGGAGCTTTAGGCTCTCCAGGCCGGAGTAGCAGCTACAGAGCAGGGTACACAGAGCCTGCAAGCCTCCAAAGGCGAACCTTACCAAAGCTTCAATCAAGGCCAGCAGTGAAAGCAGAACACCACGGCCCAAGTGCAGAAGACTGGTCAGCACTGTGTGCGGCAGGTTGTAGATGAATGCCAGGAGCCAGGCCAAGGAAGCCAGGAGGGAGGACACCAGCAGGAAGTTGAGATCCAACACCAAGGTCAGCACGTCCAGCACCAGGCCCACCCCATTCGCTACCACGTACACAGCCTCCATGACAAGGGTATGGAGGTTAGTCCAAAAGAGAAGGCTGGCTCCCGAGTTGAGGGCGCTGTCAAGGAGTCCCTGAAGGAAAGTGAACAGTCTCTAACCCAGGGGGCACCAAGATCTAAGGAAGGCGTGGGCTGAAGTGGAGTCTCAGGAGAGGCAAAAGGGGCCAGGCGCCGCTCCAGGAGTCCTGGTTTTGAAAGCGGGCTGGTCAGGAGGGCAGAGGCTGGACATCTCTAACGTGAAGGCGAGCCCGAGCTGGAGGAGAGAACTCAGCCCTGGAGGCCTCGTGTGGCGTACGGCGGCCAGGTAAGGGGTCAGACCTGGAGGAGAACGGGCACGAGTGAGACGCGACGCCGCCGGGGCCGGGGCCGGGGCCGGGTGGGGGCGGCGCCAGCTGGGCGAGGGCTCGCCGTCCAGCCACGCAGGTGCCCCTGTCCCCGCCCGGCCCCCGTCCTCCTGCTCGTGGCGCCTGGCGCCCAAAGAAGAGCAGGAAAGGGAATCAGCTTCAGCAAATTCCAAACGCGGCCTCCACTCCCCTGGGCGCCGCCATCTTGTGTGCGAAGGGGTGGGACAGGAGGCGGGACAAGGTGGAAAGGCACGACGACCTCCAACCAATGGGTGAGGACTAAACACAGGAATGTCGAGCTCTCATTGGTCCGTTTGAACGGCGCCCTAACAGACGTACTTCCAAAGGGAGGGACGAAGAAAATTTCTTAAAATCTCCGCCCCTTTGAGGTGGTGATTGGCCCGTTGACGGACAGGTCGGATACTCCCACCTAGCTCCGCCCCCTAAAACCGAGCCTATGTTGGACGCCTCCTTGTTTGGGGGCTGTTATATCATAGGAGTTGGGGGAGGATAATAATTTTAGGACCCTGTCCTAAAATTTATTTTTTTATTAATTTTATTGAGAAACAAATAGTAATGAGACAGTTTCAAAACAGGTAGTAGGGGGCTGGTGAGATGGCTCAGTGGTCTAAAGCACCAACTTAGAACAAGCTCAGCAAAGCACAGGGACTGCGGTTCAATCCCCCAGCACCACATGCCAGCCCGCCCCCTGGTGGGCTGAGCTGGCCACACACACACACACACACACACACACACACACACACACACAAATAAATAAAATTAAAAAAAAATAACAGGTAGTAGGACAGTTACAATAATTAATACATTGCATATTGTTGTCTTCATAGTAGTTATTCATAGTACAAGGTGCAGACATGATATCCTGTCCAAACACTATTAACAAATCTTACTTCTCATAGAATTAAGAGAAAGTAGCTGTATATCTACCCTAACTATTTTGTGTATACATACAAAATGGTCCTTCATTTATACCCCCTTTTTCATTTAGTTTTGTCAGAGATGGGTGAAGCTTTGATAAGTTCACCTTTGGAGGCTTGCAGGCTCTGTGTACTCTGCTCTGTAGCTGCTACTCCAGCCTGGAGAGCCTAAAGCTCCTGGGGCATTTGGCCATTTAAATATTGTAGGTGCATGAATTCTGCAAAATAATCCAATACAGTCCAGCAGTCGTAGTGGGTTATCTGTAGGACTGTGCAGACCTCAAAAGTCATCTCTGAAATTGCTGGGCTCCAGACCTTGTTCCCTGCTCTAGCTGTGCTTTCTACATCCTCTTTGTTTGTTTGGGGGTTTTTCCCATAATTTTATTGAGAAACAAATAGCAATGAGACAGTTTCAAATCAAATTAGAACAGTTTGAATAATTAACACATTGGGGCCGGGGAGATGGCTCAATGGAATAAGCGCTTCCCTGGCAAGCGCAAGGGCCTGAGTTCAATCCCCAGTTCCACAAAAGAAAAAAAAAATTAACACATTGCAAGGGGGCTGGGGAGATGGCTCAGTGGAATAAGCGCTTCCCTGGCAAGCGCAAGGGCCTGAGTTCAATCCCCGGATCCACCAAAAAAACCCTAACCAGAATAATTAACACATTGCATACAGTCTTCCTAGTGGTTATTTGTTGTACAAGATGTAGACATGATATCCTATTTACAAACACTATTAGAACAAATCTCTCTATTCATTGAATTAAGAGAATGTAGCTGTTTTAAAAAAGAGGAAGAGAGGCTGGGGATGGGGCCGGGGAGATGGCTCAGTGGAATAAGTGCTTCCCTGGCAAGCTCAAGGACCTGAGTTCAATCCCCGGTTCCGCCAAAAAAATAAGTAAATAAATAAATAAAAATAAAAAAGTGGGGCCGGGGAGATGGCTCAGTGGAATAAGCGCTTCCCTGGCAAGCGCAAGGGCCTGAGTTCAATCCCTGGTTCCGCCAAAAAAAAAATAAA